GATTTCAGTGTAACCACAGCTATAAAATCAAGGCTTACCAGTAACACTTAACATGCAAATGTTTTCACTGTATTCAGCCATGCATAAGACAGATACCACATGGCTGACTTTTTCCAGGTATTATAGTAACCACAAACATTTACATCTTTTCAACCCTAATGCTGCAGGTTTAATGCAAAACAGAAAACTAACCCTAACCCTCTACAAAATGCTTTCATGCACATATAGACTGTGAAAGTGAAAATAAAATCCTAACCAAATTCTATGACTAAGGCTAATGATGCAAACAAATAATATTTGGCATATCTCTGTCCTCTGCAGCCTGGCTGTTCTGGGATTGGTTTGGGCTACTCTCCATCCTGCTGTGGGGGTTGATGTGGTTTTGGGGAGGTTTTTTGTTTGTTTTGCAAAACTCTTAACTGGCTGAGACTACCCCAAAATTTGGCCATATGCTAGAAAACAAGCTTTGAAAAGCCTTTTTCTACATTTTTTAAAATGCATACTATTTGATTGTCTTTCAACTCCACATTTGCAAAATGTTACTGCTGCTGTAGTAGGATTTTTCCAACCCCACAGAACTGCCAGAGTAACTGACACAAGTGGCCTCTTTGCTAACGTGCAGCAGCAGCACAGTAAAACGAATCAATTTTCCGAGTACAAACACAAGCTGTAAACCAAACTAAGAGTAAATAAAAGTACTGTTCAGCCTGGAGAAGAGAAGGCTGCATGGAGACCTCATAGCAGCCTTCCAGTATCTGAAAGGGGCATATAGGGATGCTGGAGAGGGACTCTTCATTAGAGACTGTAGTGACAGGACAAGGGGTAACTGGTTCAAACTTAAACAGGGCAAGTTAAGATTGGATATAAGAAGGAAATTCTTTCCTGTTAGGGTGGTGAGGCACTGGAATAGGTTGCCCAGGGAAGTTGTGAATGCTCCATCCCTGGCAGTGTTCAAGACCAGGCTGGACGAGGCCTTGGGTGATATGATTTAGCGTAAGGTGTCCCTGCCCATGGCAGGGGGGTTGGAACTAGATGATCTTAAGGTCCTTTCCAACCCTAACTATTCTATGATTCTATGATTCATTTTCAGAACTTCTCTGTAGGTTTGCATTTCTGAGCCTGTACACCATTGGTGGAAAGTCAAGGCACGTTTATCAGTTTCTAGAACTATCTAATTTTAATGTAAACAGAGTAAACCTAAGATCATTGCAGTGAGGTATGAAGGAGTCTGCACTGTATTATTTTTATCTTTATCCTACCCAAATCCTACCTAGCTGTCTCTCTCAATTTCCGACATGGCTAAAAGCCAACCTTAGCAAACACTACAAACAAGTAAGTAATCAAATAAAAAATGCTTGTGCAATCTTTTCTTAATAGGAAATGTGGTTTAAGAATTATAGAAATATTAAAAATATGTTCAGTACTGCATGAAAAAAAAAAAAGAACCTGGAAGAAATACATAGTGTATACTCCTTTATATAACCCCACTTCCCTTTCTGCATTTCCCTTGTTGTGTTGCATAATCTTCAGTTTTTCTACAAGATGCATAGCTTTTGTATGCAGCAGACCTTGTCCTATTTTCTTCAGACATTTATTTTATATTTGGGAACTGTATCTAAGGCATAAGATACGGTTAGCATGGTTTTGCTGCTAGTACTCGATCTTAACATTGAGACTTTTATTTGCTGTTTTTATCTTACTGCAAAGCTACATAAAAACAGAATCTACCACCTTGCAACAGAAACCGTCTCCAAATACAGCTAGAACCTGCAAGTACATTCTTACAAATGAAGGGAAGAAAAAAAAATAAATCAATAAACTGTATTAAAATGTTTATTAAATAATGATGTTCTTATGTATCTTGGAGTATATTTATTCTTGTCCCCAACAGATGACTATTACACAGATATTATATAGGCAGTTGTTCATGATTTACTGTACCAGTGTCAGCCACAGAACAGGTCCCAATTTAGAACAGTATTAATCCTCCAGAAAGGCTCACAGAGACCCATGATATAAGAATTCCCTACAGCTGTACAAAGTGAAAGAATAAATGTTCTGACCACTAGAGGCAGCACCACCAAATGGAGTACACTGCTACAGTATAAAAACTTAAAAAGATTCATACAGGGATTCTTCCCCTTGCATGCTACTAAGCACATCCTATTCAGCACACAGTAATTCCACTGAAATGCACCTGTTTCAGAAGTGGAACATGGAAGCAAAATGCTATCTTTTTTTTAGGTATGAAGGAATTAATTGTTCAGCTGAAGTTACAAAAAACTTTCAAACTCTGCGTATCATTATATAAAATTATTTGACAACCAAAGCTTTACAATTCATGCAATGGTTTCATTAAAGGTGGAACATGAACTTTGATGAGCAGACATCGTTGGGATTCATCTCCGTCTTTCGTGTAAAAAATCAGTGATATTCTGAAGACATAAATGTGAACTCTTACTTATGACAACAGTAAGACTGTTGACTCCCCCTTCTTCAGACTTTGAAAAGCCATGACATAATCAGACTGTTGACTGGTAACCTGTTTACATTTGGGTTAAGGTCCTGACACCCCGTAGAGTACATACTGAATGATTTCATCTCACACAGCTATTACTTAAGGCAATCAGCAGCGTGGTGTTGGTTTATAGCTGTCTCACACAGTGAGTAGTATCTAAGAGAGAAGTGGTTTAGTGGTAAGTAGGTGGCTTAGTCATCCCGTAATTTATATGGGAAATGAATAATCTCTGCTTACCTGATGTGCTCTTGACTTTACCACACAGAAATCCAGAAACTGCTTTTAAGAACAACATTAACATCTGAACTTTGGAGCATTCAGTTGCGAGGTAAGAGAATGAAATGCATTTGCTGAGCCGCTAAGTGGTTCAAATCAACCTCTAGGCTGTAGGAAGTTTTCTTTCTTAGACCGTGCCCTCACATCTTGTGACAAACACACATCTGATGTATTCTTTCAGGGTACTAGCAGTGGGTGTAAAAACATCAAAAGCACAGCTAACAGTGACAAAGCAGGTCAACAGATGACAGAAAGTATAGAAACATACAGGGTATATTAAAAAACACTTTAGAAACTATAAAAAAGAACCCCATAAGATATAGAGGAAAAGATTTAGGAAGACAATGGGCCAAAAAAAAAAAAAAAAAAGCAATATAGGGAACAGACTGAAAATGCTACTACTATAAAACACAGAAAAAACTGCTGGGAAGATGAGAGTCTCATGCAAAGGATGCATGAATAACATGTGTGATATTGACACATGTTTAAAAATACTGACACATTCTCACAAAGTATATTGACACATGTGCTTACAAGAGATCTGGTGGACAACAGACCATTTTGGTTTATCCATCAGGTCAGGAGAAATTATCAAGACTCACCAACATCAGTGGGCACAAGGGAGTTTATTCTAGCTTACTGCCTTATGAATCTCAGTAGTAACTTTTAAGCATTTTGTTTTCTTGCTTTGGGACAGGAATTACAGATAGAAAATTCTATTTGGGTGTTTTCTTGCTAAACATACATACCGTATTTTTGGAACAACATTTCTTTAGTTTTTGCTAATTGCTTTTATGGGAAAAAACAACCCTACCTGCAAGCACAAACATAAGGGAGGCCTTTCTAAAGACTTATATACAATGATTCACAATTCTCATTTAAAACAGGTTTTGCAGAAATCCATATTATGAACTATAACAGATTAAAGTTACCAAATCTGCAAAAACTCATGTGAAACTGCCAAACAAGCTGAGCTTGAAAAGTAACGAATCAATTAGTATATGCCTTCTGCAAGTCAATGACTGGCAGTTTGCTTCTACAGCTTAGTGAATTATTTCCTACTATTTTTAATACAAAAGATACACATGATGACAATTTCATTCGAACTAGGTCAAAACTATGGTATTCAGCACAATTTCATCTGAAGTAGCATTAGATGACTATTTCCTACTTTGGAGAGTAAGTAATTCTATTTTTATCCTCTAAGACACACAGAACACCTATGTGTATTTCAACTTTAAAAACAGCATCACATCTTTTGTGGAAACAAAGTTAGCACCTACAAATCTAAGAAATCCAAAGTGTAAGACAAGCTTTGTTTCACCTTCCACTTATGCTTGCTACTCATTTCAGTATGGAAACAGTATGAATGTACATTGTCAGTAACTTGTTTCTTAAATCTTCTTTTCACCTTTTATGCACCCTACAGTTTTTCACTTTATGTAATATTCTATTTGTTTTCTTAACACTAAAGAACAAAACACAGTATGGTACCTTTATGGGGAAAGTGAGAATCCAGTTAAGAGAGATCCCACTGTGCTTTGCACTACTCTGCACCAAAGCATGCATACAGAAATGATAAAAGTGATAGGCTGGGAAGCTAACAAGCTCACTGGACAGCAAACTGCATAGGATAACAGGAACCTATGCATAGGGCAAATGTCGCAGAAGAAAATGGTGTGGTGACAGCACTGGAGCAAATCAGAGAAGACGTACATCATGCATCTGTTGTTTTTCAGCTGACTAAATTGCATCAGCAAGAGACAAATGAGTTCACCTTGACTAAATCACATATAAAGTCTTGTGCTAGGCCAGAACTCTCAAACTACTCTGCACATAAATGTCATCCCAGACCTCTGATTTCCAGCTTGCATTTGTGAGTGTATGTCAAAGGACAGTAAGGGCTTGAACAGGTGTAACAAAGAAAACAAAACCAACAGTAACTAACCATCCCTAGTTAGAATCTTCAGATAATCACAGACTGACACCCTGCAAAAAAAACATGGACATAATCCTGAACTAGATGTACTCCTCCCCTGAAAATGTTCTCTAAAAACAATTTAGTAAGTGTATATTCAGTTAGGTTTGTGCTGCATACGCATACAAATATGTAAACGGATGTATAGTATAAGAACCTAAAAGGTAAAAATCACTTCATTAGAAAGAGAGAATGATATATTGTTTTTTGTAGCCACCATGTACTTACTATTTAGTTGAATCTGACAACTGATACTCCCGTCGTCTATCATAACACTCCTGAATTCCAGGGTCACTCCATAAGCTTCTTATTGCATCTACGTAAGGATTCTCAAAAGTTGACACCTTCTCTACATCGACTTCTCGAACTAACTGTGCATGAGCCTAATTCAAAACAAAACAGTAAAATTTATTTTGTTTTTTATGTTTGCAGATAGCTCATATACAGTGAATGGGATTAACAGGACCAATTTTTCATACTGGCCATAGCACCAACATGTATATCCAATTTGAAAAAACAAGTACCACATAGGAGGATGGGAAGATGGAAAAAAAAGACAACCTCAGTTCCTGAAATAAGCTAAAACAGGAAAAACCCTTACTTTTTTAATGTAAAGTATATAGATCTCAACATGCATCAGCATATATTTACTTTTCATGCTAAAAGACACTGTTAAACAAAATACCTAATATCCATTCTATCAGTGAAACCACTTATTAGTGAAGGAACCTGGGACACTTGAACAACATATAAATGGAAAAGACAGTAAACTTCCAAAATATTCAAAGATGGGTATTTTAATAAAATCTGTATCCATGTGAATGAACTTAGTGATGATGTAGGAAGAAAACATTATTGTTGATTTACTGGGGAAGACCTTAAAGACAATGGTGAATGAATGAGAATAAATAAGAGTACTGAGTAAATTACAAATGAAAGATGATAAAGTGTGTTCAAAGACAAACAGTGTTAAATATAGTATTATGACAGAAAATGAAGTAATAAACTTTGGTTTTAAATAAAATATGGGTCCTTATTTCACCCTATGCTTACCCCAATCCAATAATATTTCATTAAAAATTTCACATTAAAATTTCTATCTAATTAGGATAATTTTGAAGAAAGCTTTAATTTTGATTTTTTCAGGTACAATCTTAAGAGTATATAAAACATGCTTTTTGAATGATGATTAGTTAACCAGCATGACAGATTTAGAATCTTATGGCAGAGAACAGAATGGGAAGGAGAGAAGGAATTTGCTTTTCAGAGAAACTGATAATAAGATCGTAACATTACCAGAAGTGTAACCAAAGTTACCACTGAAGAAGAAAAGCAGGATTATTAGAAACTGTCTCTAGTTTCAATCTGCACTATAAATATGGAGCTTCTTGAAAAGTAACATCTAAAATTAGGGGGTGCTAAAAGGAAATAATCTCTAAGAAATCCAACACCTTCTAAATACTTACAATATTGGTAAAGCCTGTGGAGTCAGAACTACCAAAGAAATACAGCAAAATTATTTCCAATTTGTCCTGGCAGTACTATGTACAAAATTTGGTAACAAATACATGAGCGTATGTATCTGTCTAGAAATGCACACCTATGCAAACATACATACACCTGCAGAGAAGACAGCAGATGAAAACTTAGTCAAGGAAATAAATTTGAGGGACTGAAGTCTCATGAGGTTTGAGGTGATGACACAAACCTCTTTTCTATTTTAACTTAGGTAAAAATACATTGAAAGGACTGTTATTTTCTAATAAATTCATCCTCTGTTTACACACACACAATCCTCACCACCTTTTTGACAATCTAGGAGAATGATGCTACTGCTCATTACTTAAAAGTATTATGCTGCAATAGTTGTTTACTCAAGAAGAAATAAACCTCTCCAAGTTCAACATGAAAAATGTGTGTCTTTAGGGGTGAGTAGAACATATGTTCTCCATTATCAGAGCCCAAATCCCCAAAGTCCTAACAAAGCATACCTTCTTCCTGATCATGTCCATGCATACCCAAAATGTCTGACAAATCAGTAAGAGTCACTACCTTCTCACAGCAAATAACAAGAAATGGTACTCTACTAAGTAAACACAAGCCCAATATTCCTTGTGAAACAGGGTAATTTTTTAATTATCTTCTATCTTATCAAGCTTAGTTCTGTATTCTTTTGCCCTTAGCACTTCCAAAAGAATGTCATAACTTAAGTATTTCTCCAACAGCTCCCTAAACATTCTGTAACAGGTGCTCAAGTATTCTACCTTGGTAGATGACAAGATCTTAAAAGGTAATTGCTTTATTCAGTTACTTATCTCGACTTAATACTACAGACTTGTCCTAGATCTTGCATTGGTTTATCAGTTCTGTATGTTCTGCCATACAATTAATATGGCTTTGCACTGTGTGACAAAACTCACAAAATAAACTATGATATATGCCAAGAAGCTGCATCCATCAAAAAACTGATTCACTTTTTTAAAAACAAACATTTCTTCAGTACTTCTGCTTCCTTTGGGTTTTCTTGGACAGACTCAATGACCACTTGCACCCTACCAATATACTGCTCTTCATATCAGTGCTGCTTCTCTTAAAAAAGTAATACCCCTTCATATAGATTTCAAATCTTTATTAATCTTCAGCTGTGCCTTCTTGTTCCCAGAGGTACTATACTTTCCTGTAGACAACAATTTTTCTTTCATCCGGAGTCTTTGCAAGGAAACATCTTTTGCTGACTTTCAATTTCTGGTGGCAGAGACAAAGACGAAAATACAGGAACTCATCTATTGGCTTAATTTTTCTCTCCATTTGCCCTGATACAAATCAAAAGTAATTCTAGTGAAACCTTTTGAGACAGAGATGCATAAATTTAATGCAGCAGAAGAATCAACAATGTACAATGTGTGGTGTTGCTATTGCTAATTCCTGGAGTTATTTTCCTTCCATTAATATAAATAGCAAATTTGGAACTTAACTTCTGATATTAGCACACAAACATGGCAAAAAAGAAAACAAACCCAAAAACTAAGGACTCATCATTAATCCAGTCCATGCAACTACAAATGCTATTGAGTACTTCTCAGTCTTTACAAATCCTTTCACTTTACCCAAAAGTTTACATTTTCGGGGTGGGGATAAAAAGAAAAAAAAAAAAAGTCAAGCTTGTTCCCCCGAGAAAATTGTACCTTCTTAAGAGTTCTCTCTTTTGGAACACCAGTAATTGTTAACAAAACGAAAACCCCCAAACAACAGACAAAACTGAAGGAGTCTGTAAATACCACCAAATTGAAACTGGTCATTAAAATGTAACTCCTAGTGCAGATGCAATGTTCCACAAACAAAATCTAGATGGCGAAGACAGCTTTTCAGTCTCAATACACTTTTTACATCGGCATTCAACATTTTCCACGGCCTTCTGGGAATAAGACTACTTGTAATTATTTCAATATTATTTGCCAGAAATCTTACAAACACACATTCGAATCTTTTTAGCAAATCATATCTCCCAAATTTAAGAGATACTTCACTGATTTTTACAAGTATCTTAAATACTTGTAGAATAACAAAAATAGAACTTGGGGAATACTACTGGATTCTAAAACCAGGAAGTCTGAGACCATGCCAAAATAACTATAATTTTTCCTTTTTCATTCCCCCCATAAAACTACTGCCAGTGTTAAAAACTAATTCTGAGCTTTGCTAGCATTACTAATAGTTTTATGCTGGTGTTTCTGCCAATATTATTCTGGCCACAACCCATTAGTGTAAGTACACTTTTTTTTTAATCTCTAGGCTTCATCAGTTTTCTTATTATCTTCTTAATAAAACACAGCTTTCTTGACATCTCTGATGTGTCTTAGGACTAACTGGGCCAGCCAATGGGACTGAGCCTGTATTCTCTCCGCGCGTGCATGAATCATTTTAAGCCTTACCACAGTGGCCACAATCCATGTAGCAAGCACGGGAAAAGGTTCATTATTTTTCCATTCTTTTTGATACAGCCTCTGTAATTCTCCCAAAACAGCACTCCAACCTACCAGAATTATTTATATGAGGGAGGACCAGGCAGAAATACTTGGTCTATTTCAAAACAAATTCCTCTGGCATCTTAAATCCACAGGAGAAAGCAGTATGCTTGAGACATAGCAAGCAAAGTTGCTTTGCATCAATGTTTTCTCTAGCTGATTTTAAGATGCTTTTTTGCTGTTGTTTTTGGGTTTTGCTTAGTAGGACTCAGAGAAAGCTTGGGAAGTAGCTAAATAAATAGGAAATTTATTTGTACACTGCCACAGAATCCACATCTTCATAAAGGTACTTTGTTACAGTTATCCTACTATTCTATACTGAAGCTTCCAATCCTCTTTTTATAAATGAAAGGTTTTGATAGCAATAAAATAAGGGTTTTTTTTTTATGTTAAGACAGAAGAGTAAAAAGATATCTGATCATCTTATATCAGTCCTGATAACTTACTCACCCAGTGTAACTGTTAGAAAGTTAGCTGAGTTAGAAAATTTAAGTATATAAAGATAGTTTTCCTGTATGAAACATGAGATGCCTCCTATGACATGGAATATATGCATTGTTTACTTAAGGAAAGGAAAGCTATGGTATGGTGCAAGTAAATCAGCACATTGTATATACTGTTTATAGAAGAAATTGATCTGAAGAGCCCAAAGCTAATACAGACTCATTCTGCTAATGCAAACCTTAGTATGGAGCAACAAAAGGGTGTGATTATTTTTCTACCTACTGTCCAGCTTTCCTGTTTTCCATATATAAGGTTTAGGTTTCCTGGCTATCACTGTTAAGCTGTTGCCTAGCAAATAAAACCGACATAAACTGATGATTAACATTACTGTTACTTTGAAAGAACATCTAATTCTACATCACAGCCTGAATTACCACTTTTATCACTATTTACCCCACACCTATTGTAATACTTCCATCAACTGAAACAATTTCTTCAGCTGACATTTCTGGCAATCAACATTCACAGAACAATACAGGTTTTCAAAACAAAGGAGACAACAGAAAAACATGTGGAAAAACAGAAATAAAGCATCCATAAGCCATTCCCTCTCTACCAAAAGGACAAAGAGGCAGATGAAGTAAGACAAATCAGTCCTTCAGTGATCTCACGTAACTTCAACTATTAAAGCATTCGCCATATTTTCCTCTATAACGAATGCTAGGTTTTGGATATTCATCCTCATTTTCTTTCTTGTTATTCTAAGCAGAGAAATTTACAAAAACTCTGGTAAAATAGTTGATAAAGCCAGATCCAATATGATAAACATCTTTATTAATTCATATCTCTAAGAAAACAACACTGACTTTTAGATTTTTGTGTTCTATAACATGCTATTTTAATCTGAAGATCTC